TTTGAGGAAGATGGCAATCCTAGAAGCACTTGCATTCCTGTTGGTTAGTTGGTTTTCTATTTCTTTGTAACGGAAAGGGGAAGAAAATTAGGTTGACACAAAATTCCTTGTCATGATACAATTTTTGACCTAAAATATCTTTTTAATTTTAATCATTTTTTTCACTTTTGTTTATTTAATTTTCATATCAAGAAATATCCAGAAAACAATCCAAAAATAAGATTATAAATAATAAAAAATAAAAGAAAAGGGTAAAAATACAAGTTTTTTTTTTTTGGATTTAACAAGCTCTTTACTTAGTTGAAAAAGGTAAAAAAGAAATATTATGAGTAATTTAGGATCCAATTCGGGATATAATTGAAAAAAAATAATTTTATTAGGTTAAAATTAAAAGAATTGAAGGAACAATAATGAATATGTATAAGCGGCCACATCCAAAGATCTAATTAATTTAATCTTGGACAAAATTGCAGAGGAAAAGTGAGAATTAGAGAAAATTAACGATAAATAATCCAAGAATAAGATGATAAATAATATAACAAAAAGAGAAGGGTAAAATACAATTACAAAAAATTGGATTTAACAAATCAAAGATGGAGTTGAAAAAGATAAAAATATCAGGAATAATTTAGGATGCAATTCAAGATATAATTGAAAAGAAAATGGTTTCATTAGGTTGAAATTAAAAGAAATGTAGGAATAATGATGAATATATAACAAATGGCCTAATCCAGGGTCCAATTAATTTAATTAATTTAATCATGGACAAAATTGAAGAGGAAAAGTGAGAACTGGGGCAAAATTGATAAAAAAAATACACAATTTTAAAAATCAAGGACTTAGTTAGAATAAATATCCAAATTAATTCATTTAGGGATGAAATAAAAAAACCTAATTGCATGGATATTAAAAATTCAAAAACAGGGACTTCAATGAAAAAGGAATAAAAAGTTCAAGGCCTTATTAAATTTTTGACTTTTCCATAAAACAATGTTATTTTTATAAAATAAATTTTTTTTTTAAAAAAAAAAGAAAAAGAAGAAAAAAAGAAACAAGATGACGTTGTTTCATTCAAACTGAATAGTTTTGCAAAACAGGTGTTCATAATCAATTTCCACTCTCAATTCTTCAACAAGAATCACTCCAACAATTACTCAAGGCATTTATCACTCCAGCAAATCTCTAGCTCTTCAAAATTCTTCAACAAGAATTATGTCAGCATAGAACACAAGTTTCTAACCTCTATTAGAAATCACTCTAGTCTCAAATATCCAACTCCTCAAATACAGCCAGCAAGAATCATTCCAGGATATCTCCAGCTAAATCTCTAGCTTTTTGAGGATAATACCTGCATCAATCACATCTACAAGACCTTAGTTGCTAAACAAAAACCTTCTATATATATATATATATATATATATATATATATATACATATAGCATTCCAAGAATTATATAAAAATATAATTTGTTAATTTATCAATTGGAGAGATTGTCTCATCCTATTAAAACTAAACTTGTTTGGGGTTTTTAATAAATTATTTTAAAAAAAATTATAAAAATAAACAAGAATAACTAAGGTTATAAAAGAAATATCATTTTACCCACACTATTAGATGAATGACTTTTTGTGTAATCTCAAATCTTCAAAAATCCATCCAATTATTGCTTTAATTGCAAGCTGTCATTTTTTGTTTTCACAAGGGTCACCTCCTTCAATAAAGATGAATAATGTGGCCAAGAAAATCCCAATAGTTATATATGGAATAACCAAATCCTATTAGAAAGATAAATGACTTTTATTTACTACTACTAACCTTTCAAAAATATTTACATAAAAAATACATAAAAATTTAAGGAGCTACTGATAGATCAACATGTTTTATTTTTATCTTTATTTTTATTTTCTTTGGATATTCATTTAAAGAAACAATAACTTCATAGCTACTAGGTATGAGGTGGAGGTAGGTGTTATTGTCTTTAGTATGACTATGTAATTCCCTTTCAATATGATTTGTGTGATTACACTAGGAAGATCGAGTTCATCAATTCCAAGGTAAGTTAATGCAATTGCACTAGTAAAACTAAAGACATCTCATCGTTGAAAGGTTATGAGATTGTTGCTCTGAAGAGATAACGTGTCAATCTCATCTTAGAAGATATCTGCAAACGCATTAGGGAGGCTCCAAGCCCATTATTTTCAAGGCAAATTATTTAATCACTCTAAGAAGATTGAATTGATCCATTCTAAGATAAATTGTACAATTGCATTAGAAAAACCGAGTCCATCACATCCTTCCATGAAAGATTGTGAGGTTATTGATATGAATATCACCTAGAAAATTATCTCCAAATCTATCAAAGATAATATCTTTTATTTTATTAGAGGAAAAATATATTTGTTTCTATTAAAAAAAATATCTCTAATTTTATCATATGAATATTATCTCTATACGCTTGTGGGCTTAGTGTTTAGCTAAGTCTAAAGATATTAAGCCTAATAGCTCGCCATACCTATATATGTTTTGTCTTAACAATTGGTTTAATCCAAAGATGTTGGGTATAGCAGTTCTCAAAACCCATATATGTTGATGTCGACTTATCACTCAACCTCTAATTTTTCTACATAAAAATTCAAAAAAATAAAAATAAAACTATCAATTAATCTACACAAATCACATCTACATGACCGTAGCTACTAGACAAAAGCCTTTCATAACATATCACTCCAAATATTGTATAAAAATAGGGGAGTAGGCTGAGAGAAGAGAAGAGAAAAAAAACAAGAGAAAAGAAAATAAAAAGATAAATAATTCATTTTATTGTAGTAATAATAGTGCCTCTAAGGGAAAGA